CCCCACCACCTCCCCCTTCCTGCCTGCTGTTGGATACATGTGCACCCAGCTCTGCCCCCACCTGCCTCCTTTCCCTCCCTGGCTAGCTGTTGGGCGCGTGTGCACCCACCTCTGCCTCCCCGCCCACCTCCACCCCGCCCAGGTCTGCACAGCCAGTGGCTGCCTGCCCTCTCGGCAGCTCATGCCCAATTGATCAAAAGCATTGCGGACAGACAGACAAACACATTAAGCCCTTTATTATATTACAATTCCAAAAAATTCACAATGAATTGCATCAGGCCGCAAACAAATCTTGAATGGAATTTACTGTCCAAAATCAAATGATGGTGTTAAGGTTAAGGGACTGGCGAAATTGTAGTCAGTGGGATTTTTAGTTAGTAGGGGATACTGAACAACCCCATTAAAAAAACAAAACAAAAAGCAACATTCCCCATATCTAGTGCGCTTTCAAATATCTGTCCATATGGATATTTGATACCTGATAAATTGGCCAGTTTGGCACCTAGTATCTTTGACCTGGGATTTACTAAAAATTAGAAACTTTTTCTCGAGATGAAACATTTTAGGTGTTTGCACATTTATTACATTAATGAGGGGTTTCACAATAACCTAAAATTACTTTTTGTTAGTTTGCCAAGTGCAGAAGGAAACTTTAATGTTAAATAAATTATTTACGTAGTGCCAAAGTGTTATGATCCTGTAAGTATAATTTTCTAGGGATTATGAAATGTTCTGGTTTAATAACTTTTTTCCTCTAAATGCAATTTTTAAAAATTTCATTATCATACTGAATTTGTGGTAAATATAGCCACAATTATTTAAAGTGTTTCTAACATAATGTGTGAATTTTTTTTCTGCAAATTGTTAGCAGGAGAAAAAAATGTGATTTTTTTCATGGTAAAAGAATGGAAATTTGAACTAAATAAATTTAAACTGTTTGTATTTTGAATAAGGGAGAATAACACATTAATAATTTAGTATACTGTTTTTTTCTGGCACCGTTTAAATTAATCTAGTGTATTTATTGGGAATTGGCATATTTTTAGTTTTTAAATAACCTTTTAAGATGCAGTAGGAATTTTGTTGGTAGTAAATGGGATCATCAGTTTTAAAAACTGACTTCAGGAGTTTAGTAAAACTTTTGGCAAATCCTATGAGAATTTTTAACTAACCAGCAATATCACCAGATGGCTAAAAAGTATTGTTATGTATCTATCTAAATAAAACATTAGAAAAAATCTTTAAAAAAATAGAACCTCTAAAAAGTCTGTGCTACAGCATTTAAAAGAGAAAAAACATTTGGGAACCTAACTTAATTTTGTTTCTCCCTGAGGCTTCTGCATTCTGATCGAGATCCTATTCCAGATGTTCCTGCTGTGTACTTTGTAATGCCAACTGAAGAAAATATTGACAGAATGTGCCAGGTACGTTACTTTGCACATTTATCATTTTTATATGGATCAAACTGATCTGAAGGGAGAGCACATGTTGTAATAGACACCTTCAAAATCTTATTTCGGTGAACATTCAAATATCTTTTCTCAGAGTTTAATGTGCACATATTAGCGCATGTTTGCCACACAGAAAAGCATTCTATTGCAGTTGTTTCTGCAAACTGGAGTTTTATGACTTTATTTCAGCTCTTTGTTGTCAGTCGATATATCGTAGTGTTTTATATATGAATGGATATCTAAGCACTCCACATAAAATTTAAATAACTACAGCACTTTAATGAAAATGCTTGGATTTTTAAGAAAGCATCATTTATATTTAGAAGATCTTATTCACACCAAAAAACATTAACTTTTGCTTTCAGGATCTTCGAAATCAGCTTTATGAATCTTATTATTTAAATTTCATTTCTGCCATTTCAAGAAGTAAACTGGAAGATATTGCAAATGCTGCCTTAGGTGCTAATGCAGTAACACAAGTTGCTAAGGTAAGAGATTGCCTCAGGATAATATTTTGTTCATTGTTTCTAAAGAAATTGGCAGGGATTTTCAGAAGGCATCTTGTTGACTTAGACATAAACTTGGGACCAGTGTTCATTTTTGCTATCTTGATTTGACTTGATAGGACCAAGAAACTGTCACCATCTGTTTCTATCTTATGAGACTTGTCTCGCCATGTGATAAATATTGGATGTGCACAAAATATTCATACTGAAGCAAAACTTTCTTTTAAAGATACCTACATTATAATAATATTACAAGTGTGGTGGTGTTTTTAACGTTACACAAAACATTTACCACTAAAGTAGGAATATGGTTTTTTTAATCTCTTCTTTTTGGGGTTGACTTAATGTGATTTTTTTGTTTGCTCCCAAATTCATGAAAATTCATGATATAATTGCAAATAGAGACTGCGCCAGCAGCAGGCACTTGAGCACAAAATATATCTGTGATATATTAAGAAAATTATAAAGAACTAAGAAACTTTAAATAAAAACTGAGTCTATCTAACGTGTCAAACACCCTTTTTTATATATGGAATGGACTCATGCCAAAGTTTGTTTCTGAAGAATTCTTTTCATAGTCTGCTCTAATAAATTATTAGTTCTTAATTCAACTCAAGTAAAAGCTGAAACCAGAGGGGCCCCAACAGCAGTGAGCACACCTACTGCCAGGTCCCGCTTTTTCTTGCGCCCAGCACTAGCCACTGCCACTCATCATGGGCAGGGCCACATCTCTCAGTCTCTGTCTCCCCTCTCCCCCACCATTCCCTCCCTCTCTCCCCCCTGAACCTTCATGCACCTACAGCACATCCCTGCAACTTATGCCAACTCCTGACTCGCATGCTGGAAGCAACACTGGGTGGGCACCAGCATCAGCTATGGACATAGTTGGCAGATTATGGATGGCGGTCAGGGCATTCACTTGGGTTCACAGGTGACACTGCTGCATGAATGCATCAGCTGTGGTCCTGGGCAGTTGCCCCAGTCCCCAGCGGAAACTTACCAGCAGCATCCACAGATGATGCCAGGGTGTGCCCAGCGTTGTTTCCAGAGTGCAGGCTGCAAGCTGGTGTAGTCTGCAGATGGGGCTGGTACGTGCCTGCCGACCTGGCACAATGCAGCAGCCAGAGCTGCTGGCTTCATGTAAGCCAGATTCCATGGCTTAGGGGTCACCAACCTGCAGGCTGGATACGGTCAGTTGGTGGGCCATGTTTTGCCCACCCCTGTGTTAAAACAATGGCATGATTGCAGTGGAAGGACATTTTATGCCCTATCACTATCATTGTGCCAGTTGTGTTCCTCCCTCACCTTATCCTGTGGATTGGGAGTGGCTCTGTCCTGCACCTAGCGCTGCCCCCAGCCTGTTCCAGATCTGGGACTGGGCCAACAATCAGCTGATTGTTGCCCTGGCTATGCTGGACAATCAGCTGATTATTGGTGTTGTCTGCAGGACAATTCCAGATCTACTTAGACACCATGTACAGTGTTGGGGCTGGAGTCAACAATCAGCCAGTTGTCAGCCCCAGCCCTGGGAGAGCCCAAGGTCAAATGTTACATTTAATTTATGGTACCGTACAAATGAGTTACAGAGATGGTCCATTAAATATGTGGGACATCTTTGTGGCTGGATTGCCACTTTATGATGCCACAAATCATTTACACATGTAGCACTGTAATTATTTTGTGATTTATACATTAATCTCACCATCACTGTAATGTCTGCCAGGGGCCTCAGAGAGAGATCCTCAACTGGGATACAGCTCTGCTGACTTAATTTCAGATATCCATATTCTCTTGTTTAATACTTTTGTATTTTTCACACTTTTATATCTTAATACATGAGTTAAAATATTATACAATGAGCTCAGCATTATACTGAAATTATTTAATTGCTTCATAAAAATCATCATATCTCTCAAGTTCTTCCATATTGCAGTTAGCACTCTAGAACCACTTAGGAATCGGTTTTCTCTTATTAATTCTGATCAGCATCCATTCTGATTTTGTACTGTACTCAGATAGTTAAATTTATTCATTTGATCATTAGATATTGTAAACGATGCTGTAGTTCCTATAGGTGGCCCACCCTGTAACGTACAGATGCTAATTATATCTCAAATGTAGTGCGACTTTAACTACTATTGCAATTGATTTCTAGGTCTTTGATCAATATCTCAATTTTATAACATTGGAAGATGATATGTTCCTATTGTGCAATCAAAACAAAGAGCTCATTTCATATCGTGGTAAGTAAACATGGATTTTTATGCGCACACATGCACGTGCACATATATACATGCACACACAGAGCATATTTATATACAGTACTATATATATATTATGTGTTGTGATATGTTTTAATACAAAGTCATGGGTGATGGGCACTAACAGTGTACCTTTTTTAAAAAAGGGGCAAAGAAGGGACTAATCATCCTGACCTTAATATTTGGGAAGTTCATAGAGCAAATGATGTATAAATCAATTTGTAAAAATCTGGAGGAAGAAAGATAATTACTAGCAGTCAATATGGATTTGTTAACAGTAAATCATGCCAAACCAAACTGATCTTCTCACCTTCATCCACTCAGAGTAATTGGTTGAGTGGATGAAAGAAATATGATGGACAGTATTATATGTGCACTTCAATAAGAAATTTTATATTGTCCCACATGGTATTCTCAGAATTAAACTTGAAGAAACGTGGGCTAGTTAAAAATACTAATAGATGGATACATAATTGGGTTAATAACTGCAAGGGAAAGGTGATTATCAATGCTGGTGCTGTGACAAGAAGGTAGGGGGCAGTGGTGGGAAGCAGAGGCTGCGGAGGGGCAGAGGGCAGAAGCTACAGCTCCGAACTGGAGCTTGGGTTCAGAGTTGAAGTTGGAGCAGCAACTGCTGCACCCTCCCATTTCCCCTGCTTGTATTCAATTCCAAGACACAGGGCTTTTTTCCCCATGTTGAATGAGGAAACCTCATCCTGAAATTGAGTAAAAACAGTAATTGGCTGATCAGTAGCAGGCCTGAGAAGTATCTTGGGGGTTTGGTGGATTACGGACTCAGCAGCAACATGACAGTCACAAAAAAGGTAGATATATCTTTGGGTGCATATTAGGTGTAAGATGCAAAGGATGATAGTACTATTCTGTCTGCTCAGCACTGGTTACCCCTCAGCTGGACTACCTTGTGCAGCTTTGTGCTTCACATTTTAAAAAAGAGAGAGAGGATCCAAATGATAAAAGGGTTGGAAGGCAAGCCATATGAGGAAAGGCTGAGAGAACTGGGTATGTTTATCTTGGAGAAAAGGAAATTAAGGGAAGACATAATAGCAGTAAATTCATCAGTGGAGGTTTTCAAGTGGCTGGATAAGCATAATTTAAGATCATCCATGTATTTGTACAGGGGTTTGGACTAGACTCTTGAGGTTCCTGTCAGCCCTGTGAATCTGTACTATTACTGTCCATAAACAAGATAATAATTTGCTCAAGTTAAGATTATGTTTTGTCAGCTATATGAAAGCAGCTTGGACTGCATTTGTTTTCATCTAACTGGTCATGTTTGTTTCCTCTTTAGCATTCTCCCATTATTTTTTATTTAAAAATATCAATGATAATCCTCTGATATCCTCTTAAACTATGGATCCCACAACTGTAAAATGGCAGCAGATGTAGAAGCATTAAATAGAGGCTTTACCGTATATTCCCTGGGGTTTTTTTAATTACTATTCATTTTGTCAGTCATTTTGGTGGTTGTTAACAGTTACTGGCTGCCATGGGAGGTTCCTTCAATGTAAAGTTTGTAGATTATAGAAATTAATTTAAACTATAACAAAACTCTCCCTCTTCCCCCTCCCCCTTTCCAATATTTTAGCCATTAGCAGACCAGATATAACAGATACTGAAATGGAGACAATTATGGACACCATTGTTGACAGCCTTTTCTGCTTTTTTGTTACACTTGGTAAGTTTTCAAGTTCTTTTATTTTTTCAATTGCTGTTCTTTTAAACAGGCATGCATTTTAGTTAAATATGTAGATAGTCAAAGAATTAATATGTTCATCATTAAAGGAACTGCAGTCAGAGTAGACTCCTGGAATCTATTTGCCGTGTTGATTTTAGCGAAAATAATGTGTACCCTTGTAGGAAAGATGAGTCTCATTTAATGATCTGGAAAATTTTGTGGGGAATTTCAGATGAACCTGTGGTTTTTCATTCATATCTTTCATGGAGATGAACGTAGTAGAAGTCACAGAATGAGTATTTAGCTTTTCAAGAGGTTTTTCTTATTTATTCTGAATTTAATTAATGATCACTAGATCACCATTGTTATCATGTCCCCCATGACTTCACTGAGTTCAGGATGGAACACTTTTGAAATTCCCATGCTAATTTTTCTTATAGAAAGTCATGGTCATTGTTGCTATGGCCAGCCTGGTAATACAATATCTTAGAATTGTATTAATCTATTAATTAAGTCTTTCATATTTTTAAATGTAAAACAAAAATACTTTGCACTACTTTTCTTTCTTTAAAGCAATAAATAACTTCTTTGCTTTGAAAATAAACTACCTGAGACCACAAACAAAATAAAATGCATCTTATCATAACAGGAGAGCTGTCTGGTACTTTGCTATTAAACCTAAGTCTTGTTAAATACAAGGCAAGACAGTAATTGTGTGTGTTACTAATAACTATTTCACTGTCTACAAAAGTAATTTTGGAAAATTTTGTGTGTCTGTCTGGTTAGCAGTTCAGCAAATGTATTTTGATCGCTTAAAATTAAAAACCCTGAAGTTCTAAGCTGAGTTACCCTGATTTCCCTTTTCACTGCATAAAATTGTACAGTCTTGAAGATGAGAGCTCAGCACTTCCCTGGAGCAGTCTGAGCTAGGGTTCTTTTGTATTTTTTTAGCTCCTTTAATTTCTCTGCTGGTATAAGAGAAATGTCTTAACTGAAGCACTTAAACTGTAAAACGCTTTTGCTTTTATACATATGCAGTTAGAAGCATTTAAAATATGACATTAAAAACTTGAAATTCCAATGGAATATTTTTTTAATGAATAATCATTTCCCTTCAAACTGTTGAAAGCCAAATACGATGGAATTTTGGCAATAAAAAAACCCTAATTATTATAAGCAAAAATTAAACTGACCTACTTAAGTGTCCAGTAGGAGCAAATGAAAATAAAAAGCATAAACAGTATAAAGTAAACAAAAGCAAAAATAGCTGAGCAAAAGTGAAACTAACTGGTGTATTTAATTGTCTAGTAGGGAGGAATGAAAGTAAATAGCGTAAATGCAACAATATTTTGGACTAAACAGACCTAAAAATAAGTAACATGAAATTAATATAAATGGTTTTTAGTATTTTAACTGGTGATCTTTTAAACTCTGTGTACTGCTACTGTATTACATGGGATCAAGCATCCATCCATTCATACTTTGGCTTTGTATTTCTGTTTATATTGATAGAAAATCACAGTTGTAGTTTAAGTTAATGACTATATGGGGCAAACTTTGTGTGCAGTTGGGTGGCATGCATTAAAAATGTAGCATCCAAAAACAATTTTAATAAAACTTATCTGAATTATTGTGACATAAATGTAAATAGAGGTCACCATATCTTTTTAATAGGAGCTATTCCTATAATCAGATGTTCAAGAGGAACTGCAGCAGAAATGGTGGCAGTGGTAAGAAATTTTTTTTAATGTGATTATTTCAAGTATTTTTGTTTTCATAACTCGAGACATTTAACTATGTTTTTTTTTTTTTTTTTCAAAAGACAAAAACCAAAAGATAATATTCATGGCTGGTTTTCTGTTATCAGTTACAGAAAGTACAAGGGTAGACATTGTGTGCTATGTGTATGAAGTCAGATACTCCATACCTTTTTTGAAAAGTGGATAGTGATGCATGTTGCTTCAGCATAAAAAATCTTTTATTTTCTCCTCTTCTGCTGTTTTGTATCGCCTAGAAAACTGTTCTTTCAGTCTGGGTCAAGCAGAAGTTAGAAATTTGTAAAATTTTTGTAGAAATAGTTCATATAATTCAGGGGTTCAGCTTCTGTGAATTTATTTGGATCTCAGGAATTCTTAAAGATTTGTATAATTGTCAGAAGTATTTTGGAGGGTGTAAATTGGTAAAAAAAAACTAAAGGTGACTGTAATTTGAAGAGCAAATACAGTACATTGAATTGATGAAGGGACGCTGGCTAGCACTACAGATGAAAGGGACTTGGGGGTCATGATTGACTGAAAGATGAATATGAACCTGCAATGTGATAGTGCTGCTAGTAAAGCAAGCAAAACGCTTGCATCCACAGATGCTTCTCAAGTAAATCTCAGGACGTCATCCTCCCATTGTACCCGGCCTTGGTGAGGCTGCAGCTGGAGTACTGCATCCAGTTTTGGGCTCCACAATTCAAAAGGGTGTGGAGAAGCTTGAGAGAGTCCAGAGGAGAGCCACGCACATGATCAGAGGTCAGGAAAGCAGAACTTAGGAAGAGAGACTGAGAGCCATGGGGCTCTTCAGCCTGGAAAAGCACAGGCTCAGGGGTAATCTGGTGGCCACCTACAAGTTCATCAGGGATGCTTACCAGGATCTGGGGGAACGTCTGTTCACCAGAGCGCCCCAAGGGCTGACAAGGTCAAATGGTCACAAACTCCTCCAAGATAGTTTCAGGCTGGACATAAGGAAGAACTTCTTTACTGTCTGAGCCCCCAAAGTTTGGAATAGATTGCCGCTGGAGATGGTTCAAGTGCCTTCAAAAGACATCTGGATGTTTATCTTGCTGGGATCCTATGATCCCTGCTGACTTCCTGCCCTTTGGGCAAGGGGCTCGATTCAGTGATCTTCCAAGGTCCCTTCCAGCCCTAATGTCTATGAAAACAATGAAGAAAAATCTATTCTTCCTTATTACGACATTGCCTAGCAGTTAGAAGATTTATTATTTTTAGATTTTTTTTCAGCTGCAATTAATCTCGTTTACATATTATTTTATGACTTAAGCACTTTCATTCAAAATGAAAATATTAAAATTACATAGATACAGTATTCAGCTGAATCCAAAATAGCATTTAATTTAAAACAAACCTCCCAATAATTAGCTTCTTTACATGAAAAGTTATAAATTTCTTACAGTTTTCCATGTATGGAATATAATTATTGGGGGGTAGTGTTAAATTCATCTCCCCTACTGCTGCAGCAGGGAAAGAAGCCATGGGAGGGGAAGCTACCAGACTCCCACCCCTTGCCCTCCCATATGTCTGTACCTGCTACCTTTCCCCTTACCCCGACCACTTGCTCCCCTGCTGCCATCACCACTTCCCAGGCCACTTGGTCCCCTCTGTCTGTCACCCAACCCCTGCTCCTCCAGTCACTTGCTCCTCATGCTGTCTGCCCACCCATCCTGCTTTGCTCCTGCTCCCCACATTCCTCCCCGCTTCCCTCCCCATGCTGGTGCCACACAGCAGCTGCCTACCCCAGCCAGTACTCAAATCCAAGATGAGGCTTGTATTTCTCCATGTAGATTTAAAATAATTTATTTCTAAACCTTGCAAGTGTTAAAACTTAAAATGTGAACCAAATGTGACCAATGCTGCACATGTTAGGATAACAAGAGTTGCTGTTATGCTGTCTGGCTTGTAGTGGACACTTCACTTGCACTCATTAGTTTGACAGAAGAGTTAGAGAAGAGCCAGCTATGCTGAATCTCTTGGGCACCCTATTCTGGGCCTGCAAAGTATATTGGATTTTCTAGGCTCACTTTTCCTTTGGCCAGAGTTTTTCTCTCATCACCTTCTGAATGGCTGAGACCTGCTCTGCAAGTGGCTTCTTGAAGAGTTTAACTCCAGCATTTTTTGCCCTAGTTCTAACAAAAGAAGCCAAAAATATTTCATTACTTATATCTTTATATTTTGTTCCTTTCTCTAAAAAGTGGCTAGTGACTATAACAGTTTTGTAAGTAAGGAGAGTAATATTGAAGAACCCTCTGGCCTAGTTTGGGGACTACCAAGACACCCCTACAGGTTAAATAGAAGGGAGTTGACAGCTTCTGTAGTGATGATGCCTAATTGGGAGAGGTACTGAAACTGAATTTGAGGGTTCAGATGAGAATTTAAGTGTTGACTAGAGAATTTAAGTTGCCACATGAATGGGGAGCTAATTTGGACAATTGACTTGCTGTTTGCTGAAACAGGGGAAGCCTGGGATGGCCATCCTGGGCTTCCCCTTTACTGGCAATAAATAAGACATGATAGGATCTGATGCTGGATCCCACAGTCATGCCTCCTGCCATACATGTGTGGATCACGCCTTTACCTACATGTGTAGAGGGTCCCTAAATAACAAATCTGAAATGTTCTACAACTGATCTTGTGAATTCTTGCTGCTTCCTGATATCAGGTCAGAGTTAAATACCATCTAAAATCATGTAAAAGAAGCTTGTAAATTAATTTTGTTTAAGAAATCATAGGGAGGTTGTCTAACATTGTCCATTTTGAAATAATTTTGGAGGATTAGTAAGAAAAAGGTCTATAATAATATTTGAAAGAGGAAATAACCGTCCAGTTAGAGAAGTTCCTTTTCTGGTCTCATGATATCCTTTCATTTTTTGCTTAGAGAGAAACACTGACCTTTAACTTGCGTGCAGTCAGTACAAAAATCTCAATGGGAGTGTGAAAGTCAGGTTGAAGTTGCTTCTGCAGCAATACCTAATAGCTGTTTCCTGAAAATGGGAAGGTGCTGGACTCAGGTGTCCATGCAACCCTAATTGTGCTGTCTTGTACCCACGTCCTGAATTACATATTTGGTTACTGTTTTTTTTCCACAATTAGTATCAGACTCAATGCACACTTTGGATACATGGAGGAGACATAATTCAGATTTCCTGGTCAACTGTAAATCTAGAGGTTTCTAACTTCCAATGCTTTATTTTGCTAGTTGAAATAGTGTTGTTAGCATAGATTCATAGATTAAGGGTCGGAAGGGACCTAGTAGATCTTCTAGCCCGACCCCCCGCCAGGGCGGGAGAACAACAAAAAACCCCAAAAGAGACAAACGGGACTCAAATGAGTCCAGCCAGGTAGGCATCCAGCCTCTTCTTAAAGACCCCCAGGGTAGGGGCCAGCACCACTTCCCTTGGAAGTTGGTTCCAGCTCCTAGCCGCCCTAACTGTGAAGTAGTT